CTCTCTCAAATCCCTAATTTCTTATCTACTCAATCCCTAATTCCCTTGTGGAACTTCTTTGTTTCTAACATACTTACTCGTTCCTCCCGAAGTTAAGCATTTTGTTTAGCATTTCGCGCATCATGCTTTAGGAACAAGGGACCATGCTAGTGTGAAGAGAAAAAGTTGTGGAATTGTGAATGTTGTTTCTCTGGGGTACGAGAAACGCCGATACACTTCTTTACTGAGTGTCAATGGGCCTTGGGAATTTGGAGATCACCGAAGGTAGCCAAGTGTTTTAACCTGTTAGCCAACGTAGAACAGGAGATTGTCTCGAGTGGGTTCATAGTGCGATGCAGGTTGCTGAGGATGCAAATTGGTTGAACTGGAGCGTCCTGCTATGGTATTTGTGGAAGGATCATAATGCTCGCTTGTTTAATGGTACTAAGTGATGTGATTCCAAACTGTGCCAATAGAGGACCAAATCCCCAACCAGGATTAGGAGGGAGAAACTGGGGAATTGGATCAGAATAACCCTCGATCAGTGGGTTTAAATCCCCGATAGGGGATTGAGAGCGGGGATCGGGCCTGACGACTTTAGTTACCTTTTTGTGTTAAGATTCTTTTTTTCCTTTTTGGTGTTTTCATTAGTTTTATTTTTATGGTTATGTTAAGGATTGTAAACACGAATTTAGAGCTTATGTTTTTGTTGAATAAGAATTTTACACCAAAGTGTTTTACCCCATGAAGCTTGCGTGCTTATGGTTTATTGTCTTCGATATTGGTAAATTCTATAACAAGTGCAAGATCCTTGTTTGAGCTTTTCTGTTAAAGATTTCAGAATAGCTTTGCTAGATTCTTATCAATCAAGCAATCACACTTGATCGTGGTGAGTATCTATCCATACATTCTACAGTTTCCTGGCAAGAAGATTTCAAGCATCATGGTTAGCCAGGTTTATGTGAAGTTTGCAATTGGAAAATATGAAGATGAGGTATTGTGCAACGTGGTGTACAAGCTTACAAATCAAATTGTGATGGGAAAAACCTGGTTCCAACATCATAGAGTTCATCTGGTCTGCAGAAGGTTCAAAAGCTTCCGATTGAAACATTAGAAGAAGGTTTTCATTTTGAAACCTTTATCCCTAGAGGAAGCTGCTAATGATTTGAAGACTTTGCAATGATTACAACGAGAGTATGAAGAAGAACAGGCATCCAAGATTGCCAAATTCTCATTGCCGTCAACAGCAGCTAAGGCAACCGAGGTAAATGAACATGCCAAAGTTCCTCGACAATAGAGTGATGAATTTTCTTGGGCAAAGAAAGAGCTTTCCCTAGATACCTTGGGCGCCCAGAAACCATCAAATTCTACCGTTGGATTCATCGTCAGTGAAGAAGAAGCATCTAGGATGCATGGTTCAACGAATTCGGAGCTATCAACCTGTGAGGTTTTCGAAGCAACCAAAGCCGTAGAAGAGAAGGACAAGTTGTCTCGATTGTCGATAGTTCGTACGTCGTGGGGGGAGAGAGAAGGAGAGTTAGCGCAATGCACCATCACTATCAGAATCGTTGCCGCCACGACTTGCTCATGAGAGAGAATGAACGCCGACGACGAAGGAAGGAGAACCGCAGCGACAGAGGAAGGAGAAGCGCCTGCTATGGTTTTGTGTTGAGAGAGAAAACAAATAATTATTAATGACAAAAATGTTCTTTCTACTTAAAAATCTGCTCAACTAGGTTAATTGAAAAAGTCTACCTAAACAAAGCTTCCTATTGGCTGTTATGGGTCGGGGTAGAAATCGGTACGCTATCGGTATCCCAATATCAAATACCGAAATCCCAAATATCGAATTACAACCTAAAATCAATCTCAATCCCAATCCCTAAATAATTTCGATATCCCAATCCCAATCCCTAAATATTTCGGTATCCCAATCGGTACTTTCGTATCTCAATCGGTATTATGAAATACGAAATTAATTACCTTGGCAATTAATAATTAAATATATAAATTAGATTTGATTGTTTAATTTAGGGCAAATAGACTAAGCAAAGAGTCTTGAGTTTGCCTAGACCTAAGATATGGATAACGAGAATGGAGGAGAGGTGACATCTCAAATTCTTTAATTGGACGAATTGGAGGTTGGGAGACGACTAATACTAGTGTTTTCCTTTTGGTGTTATGAAAATAACAAGAGATTAGGCGAGAGACGAGAGTGACTTAAACTTGAAAGTCAAAATTGAGTTGGATAGGAGCTTCTAAGTTGTGAAAGAGTGAGAAATGACCAAAGGTTGTGTATGATATTTAACTAATTTTTAATTTTCGATATTTCTCGGTATTTCGGTATATACCGATCCCAATCCCTTAATCCAGAATACTTAATAACACTCCAAAATGAATCACAATCCCATTTCCAAAAAAATAAGTCGGTATTCGATAATATCAAATAGTGATAAATTCGATATGGTATTCGATATATCCCAAATATCAGTACCAAACTTCCAACCCTAGTTATGGGTGTTAGCATGTTAACATTTTTTTGTTAGCACCCTAGCGCTTCCCTCTGGCAGTATACACACGTAGTGAAAGAATTTTTTAATAATTGAAAAACAAAAAATCAATGCAATTACCACTTTACCCTTCAATAAATTATATTATTATTAATTGGAGCTTAAATAAAAATTTTGATACACTATTACAGGGTAAAATACCTCGGCTACCACTTAAGTTTGAGAGTTGGGATAGACATACCACTTAAGTTTAGGGCGTCAAGTACCACTTAACTCTATTATATGTGCACCCGATACCACTTAAATTTACTATTATGTGCATTGCGTTAAAGTTGACAGAATATTCTCGGAATATTCTATTTTCTAAATTTCATAATTGGTCCTTCTACTTTTCTTATTGTAAGAAAACCATTTAGACTTATGGAAAACATAGTTTGTTATTGTTTAATTAGAATCCTCTTTTGAATACTTCATAGCAAGTCAATTTTTCAATAGAAAATTTAGAATCAATTATCATTATAAGCATTTTCAATTATTATTATGTTTTCTTATAATTGAATAATTTTCTGAAGCGCATTTTCAATTATTATTATGTTTTCTTATAATTGAATAATTTTCTGAAGCAAATATATCTTATGAATTCTATCTCGATATAAATAATTTGAGAATTTTATATTTAGTTCTCTTACATCATGGTGATTTGTCTAATTTTTCATGTTAAATCTCCTTTTAATTCTCTAACATTATATGTAGATGCTTCATATTAGTTAAATTTAGTAATTTTAATTCTCTTCCTATAATCATATTTTATTTTCTATATTTTTTACTGAATGTTGTAGCTTTTATAGTTCATTTATTACTTGGTTACTTTCCGTCTCTTTTCATTCTAAATATTTTTTCAATTACTGAAATATGTTTTATTCCTTATGATTGTGTTCCATTTATCTTTCTTTGGTTTTGATGTATTGATCATCGATTAGCTTTTATTTTAACTATTTCTAATGATGTTTCTAATTGAAATAGGGGTGTTTAAATAGATATTTTAATATTAATTTTAAATATTAATTATTATATTCTAGTGCACTAATTATTTTTTTAATATTCGTTTATTATTTTTTCTAATTTATCTATTTTATGAAAATTTTTGATTAGCCATTTTAGTAATAATATGTTTAGAAAGTTTTCTAATTTTTATATTAGATAAAACTTGTTGAAATATAGTTTTGAATGTTTTTAAAATTTTTGGGTTCCAAAAAGCAATTAAAATTTTGGGTTGGATAGAAAAGTAGAAGGATGCACATTTTGTCGACTTTAATGGTACCCGACGCCCTACTCAAACTTAAGTGGTATATCTACCCCAATTCTCAAATTTAAGTGATACCCGAGGTATTTTACCCAACTATTACACTTAGGGATCATTTGGAAGTTGCGAATGTTAAATCGTTACATTGTAATGAATCACAACAAAATAGATACATGTATCGATGTATCGATACAATACATGCATTTTAATAATACATTGTTTGGTTTTTGAGATTCTACTTCATGTATTGACTTGTATAAAGTTACTTTATGGGAAAATTTCACATTTATCCTCAACTTTTAATATAAGACAAAAACTAATAGGAATATAAATGGAAAGAAAAATTGGACACAAATCTAAAATCAACAATCACAACAATCTCAACTTTTAGTTGAGATTGTATAATCAACATTTTTTGTGATCGTTGGTGGGACCTACCTAAAACACTACATGCATTATTTTAATGACACTTCTAAACATTGTATTGTGCACAATACATATATTCAGGGGTCATTTGGAAGTTGTGATTGTTAGAGTTGTGTTTGTTGAATACATGTATTATGCACAATACAATGTTTGGAAGTGCCAAAGTGTTAAACAATACATGCATTGTTTTAGGTAGGTCCCACCAACAATCACAAAAAATGATGCATTATACAATCTCAACTAAAAGTTGAGATTGTTGGTTTTAGATTTGTGTCAACTTTTTCTTTCCATTTATATCCCCAATAGTTTTTGTCTTATTCTAAAAGTTGAGGGTAAATGTGACATTTCCCCATAAAAGTAACTTTATGTAAATCAATGCCTAAAGTAGAATCACAACAACCAAACAATGTATTGTTAAAATGCATCCACTGTATCAATACATGCATTTATATTAAGTTGATTCATTACAATACAACAATTTAACATTCGCAACTTCCAAACGAGCCCTCAATAAACACAACTCTAACAATCACAACTACCAAACAAACCCTTAGTCACGGAACTGCTCCTTATTACACCGGGCGTCTTGAAAAACGATTTACTTAACGCCCGCCTGCCGCTCGCCCTCCTCCGCGCGCTGAGTTCTGGTTTATGTTTGATGCCCAGCTGGGAATGAACAAACGCGCGTTTCTCACCAAATTTCTGTTCATAACTGGTGAGTTCCTCCCTTTCTATTTGTCTATCTATGCATCTCTATTGCACGCAAATCTAGTGTCTTTATGATTGAGTCTCTGCGGATACCTCGTTCGTTTCTCTTGTACTTCAAAATTTCCAATTTCCTGGTCTGGGTCCTAGTCAGTCCGCTGTTTCTCTTGACCCCCTTTTATTAAGTTCAGAATTCCAGTTCCAGTTTACTCGTGCCCTAAATGCTGCTCATCTTTCTTCTATTTTTAATCGGATGCCACTGTTTTCCAATTGGTGGAGTTTTCTTTTTGGGGACTAGAGCAGTACTGGCAAGGCACGGATTTCCAATCTGGGACTCTGAACAAGGCATCTTCTTTTTCATTTATGTTTGTAGACTTCTCATGAGAAATCTACGAATGTTACTGTTGCTTTGAAATCTTTACTTCCTTGGATGATTTTGTTCAAATTTGATGCGATGAACTAGCAGTTGGGCAATCCTTAGTTGAAGTTGCTGTATCTTAGGCTTCATTTCACTATGGCATCTGTCCTCCTCCAGTGGAGTAGCTTTGCGTCAATTATTTTGTTCAGATGAATATGTTGCAAATGGAATATTTGTTGTATGTGGCACATACCATTGTTTTCGTTGCCGTATCTAGGGTTTCATTTAACTAATGGCAGTCTTCTTCCAGTGGAGTAGCTTTGCATCGATTATTTTGTTAAGATGAATATGTGACTATGTGAATGGAATATTTGTTGTATGTAGCACATATCATTGTTTTCTACGGCTTCAGAGAATAAACAGAGGAAGGGCTTTTTTGTTCATGGGAATGTATAGCCAGTAAAGATTTTCTCTCTTAAAAATAGAACATGTCACAATAGTGTAAGTGTCTGAAGTTTCACGGAGCACAGGCTTTGCATTAGCATGATGAGCTTAAATAGCCAAATTCTACTTTTTTGTCTTAATTAAGACCTAACTATGCTGCATTGGTTGTCCTTATAATTTTGTAAGTCATGTAATTCCCAATGTTCTTATAATCAGCTTAAGGATTAATTTCCAAAAACATTTGCATGTGGTAATATTCCTCGGAAGGAAAATGGCGAGGTTGTCTTGATGTATTCTACATGAGTGAGATTTTCTTCCTGTTAATCAATACCTTTCCAGATGTACTGGTTAAACTAGTGACTTGCTTTGTCTCTGTTAGCTGTACGCTGATTGATTCTAACCCAGTTTCTTCTTCTGTCTTTGTTATTTTTTTGCCTTTGCCTTTTTGAACGCAGTTGATGAACAGAACCTGCCTTTTGTGGGTGTTGTCAGTTTAACTCGCTAATGGTAACTGTACTATTCGTATTCTTAGTTTTTCGTCGAGATAAGCAGCATTACTGAATGGCCAACAACCCGCAGTTTTCCGGCGTACAGGTAATTTTCATTAGAGAACTATTATGTACTCCTCGTACATCATGACTTCTCAACATTTTGTCATTAATGTGACGCCGAGGTTGTTTATCCATATATTTCAAACCACATTTGGCATCAGCATTTTATTTTCTATCTTAGTACATACACGCCCATGTTTTTTGTTTGCGGTCGGCGTAGGCCGTAGAGAGATGTTAAGTACGGATTCGTCCCCTCTGATTTCCTTCCAACCATAAGCAGTGAAGCCCTACAGATCGTGAACCTTCATATAAATTGAACGACTAAGATTAACTCTGCAAATACTTGTGTAAAAGATGTATTTGTAGTTTCAGCAGACGCACAATACTGTGCACATGTCCGATGATTACTCTAGATACAGTTTGTCTTCTTCAAGCAAATAGAGAAAAGAGTATTGTCTTGGAAGAGTGTAATCATGTGTTATTTTTCTTTGGAAATTTTTTTCATGTACATTAGCAACTTTTGATATTACGAATCCACTACATGTCCAATGAAAATAATAATCCCCTTGTAAAGATGAGTCCTCTGATGAATGAGTCATGCATAGTGATTTTTTGTGCCATTTAGGCGACAATTTAATTTTCCGGTACCTTTTCTTTTCCTCGGATGGAAAACGTAGTCTCCGAGTGACTTGGATCTGGATTTGGGATGAAGCAAACAGGACTAGTGATGTTTCTTTTGGCGAAAATGAGGGGAGTCAGATTGAGGAAGTATCCATCTAAGTGACTTTACGGTCTACCTAGTTTCTTAGTTCAAACGGCTGAATTACGGCTGTCCTGGTATACCTCAATAATCCGATATGAAATAAAGAAACCAGTGGTTGGGTGGTGATATCTGGATTTATAAATGCATAGAAAGATGGAGGCTGTCGATCAATATTCAATAATTTGGTTTAAGTCGGTTAGTAGCTTCTGTGGCTTTCGTTAATGCTAAGTGTCTTGAACTGCGTAATTATTTTTATTGTTTTTGGTAGAAATCATATGTCTCTTTGATTCAAAACCCAAGCCTTATGTTGGTTTATGTACTAATTATGTAATCTGCTGCCATTTAAAGCCTCCTCCTCCACCTCCTTTGGTTGGTTCTGCTGATGCTCCTCGAAGTTATACCCCAGGTCCACCCATGCCGATGCAAGTAATGTTACTCTCTTATTCTTTGTGTAATGTTCTCTCAACTACTGAAGTTGGATGTCGAAAATTTGTTTATTCCAAATCCTTTTGTTATTACAGTTCCGGTCAGTTGCTCCACCAGTGCCACAACAGTCTCAGCAGTTTCTTCCTGTGCCTTCTCAACATTTTCAACCTGTTGGGCATGGTGTGAATGTGATGAACCCTGGGTTGTTTTCCCAGCCTCAGCAAGTCCAATATCCGCCGCCATCCATCCAGCATTTACCCGTAATGCCTGGTCAATCTGCACATGGTCCTCTTCCATCTCAGCCAATTCCACTGACTAATGCTCAGCCTAATAGGCATGTTGCATCCGGAACATCGCTACCTCCACCTCCACCTCCAAATCAAAATCCTACTGGTTGCAACCCGAGTTTAGGTGGCCCATTACCGTATAGTGTAAGATATCAGTTTTTATATTATAGTTCCAACTTCCGGTTTTGTTCACCATCTTATGTGATAAATGGTTGTGTAGTTTGCACCAGTTCCTTACCCTCCGCCACCAGTGACTTATAATGCTGTAGCCCAGTATCAGCCTATCGCACAAGTACAAGCATCTAGTGCTCCTGCCCCATCTCAGCCTGGAGTATCATCTGCGAAGCCAAGTACTCCTGCTAATTTGCTGCATCACAATGGTGAACAGCCGTCAGTGGCCAATTCAAATGTTTTGGTTAGGAAACTTTTATCTATTTTTTCCCTGTCGTCTCAAGTATTTCTTACATATATTGAATTAGTTGTTGTTTATCCATTTTATATATTTGAGGATGTATACATCTGTCAGACAAGGGGTATAGACTGGAAGTCCGCTGAAGGAGTATCAACAGATTGGATAGAGCATGTATCTACGGCTACTGGAAGGAGGTATGTATGGCCAACTACTGAAACTTATTTGGCCTACTCTCTAGTTTTGTGGCTTTATTGGTATTGAGAAAACCTTGCTTGGACTGTTGGAGTTTATAATCTATCAGAAATCTTCCTTCATGGGGCTGATGTCATGATCTATCTTGCAGTGATAAGTTCAATTTTTTTTCCAACATGTACCTATTGTGGATACTTGTCTTTGGAGGATAATACCTTGCTGCCTGGTATGCAGATATTATTACAACAAGAAGACGAGAACATCTAGTTGGGAAAAACCTTTTGAATTGATGACTCCAATTGAGGTGAGTTTGTTGGTGTCTCTGTTCTGGTAAACTGTTGGGCTGATGATTCAGATTTAGAGAAGGACCTGGTACACTTTCTACTGTACAGAGGCCGAGTCGTACTCTGATGCTTGCAACGATCACTGTTGGGTTTTAAAGTCATATTGTTATTTAAAGGGTTATATATACCTTCGAACAAAGTAATTAATAGGTCACCTTCATTACTGTTTCAGCCCCTGTGAAACTTGGTGATGAAATGTATGCACCATTTACTCCTCTGGTGCGACCTTGTTGAGTGAAGAGATTATGACCCTGTCTGCAGCTGTTGAGCTCTACATTTGAATTGTGTGTTTTTTTTCAGAACTAGTTAGCTGTCCGTGCATGCCCCCCCTATTCTTCAAAGGTCTATGTTTTAGTAATTAGTCTGTTTTTTCTTTTTTAAGAAACGATTTAGTCTGGTTATATGTCTGTTGATATCTCTGTTCAATGATATGGATCTCTTTTAGCACATTTATTTGAGTTTGGTAGGTGTTCCAGAAGTAGTGTAAAACAATGACTTGTGTTACCCTGCAATAAGTTGTATTTAATTTCAATTGGAAATTTCCATTCGATGTGTACCAATACATCTCTTGTGATTCCATATCCTAAAGATGTTACAGGTGCATGCTGTGTTAGCATGCTACTCTTTTGCGAAGTAGGACTTGCCGTGTGTCTCTATTGGTCACTCTCCGCCTACTTAATAGCTTTAATGTTAGTAATTTCTGTCATTTGTGCTATTTTTTGCCTTTCAAATTCTCTCAACTTTAAGCTCTCTGATTTCATTCTATTGGAAAAATCTTTCTCAAGGCATGCTTTTGTTTGAGCTTTTAGTATCCTTGTCAGTTTTCCATATGTAGACATTTATTTTCATGTTTATAATCATATTCATGCTCGTAGTGTCATTATCCCTTGTCCCTTACTCTTATTATGTGCCAAAGATAAGGATTCTTGCTTGTTTATAGCATGTAATTTTCTTGCCGTGCCAGATACCAGCATCTTCAAGCCTATTTTGGCTCATTTACATGTGCAAAGTCTTTGTATCCCATTTAATGGTTTGTTTTGATTCATTATCTTTGCCATGACAGAGAGCGGATGCATCAACTGACTGGAAGGAATTCATGAGTCCTGATGGCAGAAAGTGTGTTATCTGATACTGATTCCTTGGCACTGTTTGTGCTGTTTTGTTTGGCAACATATGTTTTAAGATCTAATTTGCTTCTCTATGCTTCTTTTTCATGAATCTGTTGCAGGTACTTCTACAACAAGGTTACCAAGCAGTCCAAGTGGGAAATCCCCGAGGAACTGAAGGTTATTTTCCATTTACTATCTATTTTCTAAAGTCTTTTCATACTTCTCTTCTATGTTCATGCATTGATTTCTTGTTATGTATTTTGTATTTATTTCTTCAAGTTGGCCCGCCAAGAAGTAGCAGAAACATCTACGGTGGAGACACCAGCTGAAAGTTCTCCTGCCCCAGCTTCTGACGTTTCCCATGTGGATAAGATGACATCGGGGTCAGATCCTTCATCCTCCACGACACAGGATGCACCATCTAGTCCTGTTCCTGTTGTACCCATTGCTGCTGTTGGGCAGTCTCATACTTCTGAATCATCTCCATTAGCTGCTGCTGTGGCTTCTTCTTTAACTACACATACAGATTGTCAAAAGCCAGCTTTGGATGAAGGAACTGCTGAGGTTCCTGCCACCTTGGGCGACCCTAAACTAGGAACAAGGTATCTTTCTTTCTTCGCAAGGGATGATAGTGGCTATACAACCTTAGTCATTTATTTATCTGCTTGTCGTTGTAGGATCAACTCCAGCAACAGTTCACCTGAATATCCTAACATAGAAGAACAGGTTGCAAAACAAGATAAAGAGGTTGTTGTTACATATATCTTTTTATTGGTAACCATTTCTTACGTATTTGGTTGGAATCCCTGACATTTGATAGCCTTTTCAGGATGCAGGGAAAGATATATCAACAAGTGAGAAAATGAACAATGCTACGGCAGAAGATAAAACTGCTATAAGGGAGCCCTTATCTTTTATTGATAAACAGGTTTTAGTGCAGAATCAGCTGATTCCTGGAATTTGGATCCTTGTGGGAACTGAAATTTCTCATGTCCTTTCTTCTTTACTTCTGTAGGAAGCAAGAAATGCATTCAAACTGCTTTTGGAGTCTGCCAGTGTTGGGTTAGACTGGACCTGGGAGCAGGTAGTTGATATTGTTGGTATGCAGTAGACTTGGTCTTTGTTATTCTGAAAATTACAAAAGCTTCTCTTGTCTGGCTGTCAGACCATGCGTGTGATAATAACTGATAAAAGATATGGTGCACTCAAAACACTTGGAGAAAGGAAGCAAGCATTTACTGAGGTAAATGCTTCCTTTTTGTAGTTCATATTCTATCGAGGTAGCATTGACATTCTGTAGTGTCAGTTTGACTTCCTTGGACTTTTTACCAATGATTTTATGCATTTCAAATAACGTTACTAGTATCATGACGACTATGTTTCAGTTCTTGGCAGAAAGGAGAAAACAGGAAGCTGAAGAGAGGCGCACCAAGCAGAAAAAAGCACGTGAGGAATTCAGGAATATGTTAGAAGTGAGGGGTGCTTTGACTTTACTAGTTCATTTCATTTGCCATTTTTTTCTTATGCTATTAATCCTAACTTGAATTGCTTTACAGGAGTCGAGTGATATAACTACAGCAACCCGATGGAGGTCTGTAGCATATGATTCATCCTTGCTTTTTTCCAATTGAATTTTTGTGGTTCCCTTCACCTTGGGCTAGTTCTTCATTTCTTAATTTTTTGTGTGCTTTTCAGCAAAGTGATATCCTTATTTGAACATGATGAACGTTTCAAAGCGATTGAAAGAGAGAGAGATCGCAAGGATTTGTTTGATGCATATTTGGAGGAGCTAGCAGAGAAGGTACACATTTTGCAAGTTATGGTACCTACTCTTGGCTTTTGGGCTTGATTCTGACATTATTTAGTGTCTTTGTCCCTCCTATGCATCTTTGCTTCTAGTAAAAGCACGAAACTGAGAACTACGAAATGTGAGGCATAAAATGACAGTTTTTTACAAGGTTACTCTCTGACATACATAAAGCTAAGCCCATAAAGATACAAGGCATTATGTAGCTCTAACCTAAGGATTCCAGTTATCTATGCTTTTGACGCTCCTGGCTTGGGGGGTTTACTACCAGGAACGAGTAAGAGCTCATGAGGAGCGCAAAAGAAATGTTATGGAGTACAGACAGTTTTTGCAGTCTTGTGATTTTATCAAGGTACTCGTGCTTTGTTATCCAGTCTGTGATTCCCATTTAATGGCTCTCTCAGTTTTCTATCTGACTCCTCACTGCCCAGGCAAGCACCCAATGGAGGAAAGTTCAAGAACGGTTAGAGGCTGATGAAAGATGCTCACGACTGGAAAAGATTGATCGGCTGGAGATCTTTCAGGTAAAATCCCCAGCCTTATTAGCTAACTATTTGGATAGTATGTGAGAGAGATCTCACTGTAATGCTTCAGGACTACTTACGTGATTTGGAGAAAGAAGAAGAAGAGCAAAGAAAGATACAGAAGGTACGAGAATTCTTGCCTTCGTTAATTATCAAGTAATGCTTTCCAATTGGTTTATATTATTTTACCTGTTTGTTTCATCCTAAAATAGGAAGAAATGAGAAAGGCAGAGCGTAAAAACCGTGATGAATTCCGTAAACTGTTGGAAGAACATGTAGCTGCTGGGACCCTTACAGCCAAAACTCATTGGCGTGATTATTACTTAACGGTTTGGTTTTTGTATTCTTTTTTTTCTTCTGAAACAGTATAGCTGCTTTCTACCGGTGAAAACCATTGCTTTATTTTACACTACTAATAAGTACCTTGATCCTGCTTATTTGAATCTAGGTTAAAGATCTACCTGCTTATTTAGCTGTTGTATCAAATACATCTGGCTTAACTGCTAAAGATTTGTTTGATGATGTTGCTGAGGAGCTAAACAAACAGGTGACTTAACCCCTTTCATTTATCAAACAGTTGTTTAAGATCTGTTTGACAATATCGCCCAGAAACTTCTATTTTTATGAATAGTGGGCAAAATGTAGTCTACATGTCATGTGTAATTTTATATTGAAATATTATGAGATAATCCGCGATGTTTGCTTTTACTTTATCTAATTTTAGCATCAATTCCTGCAAGTATAAGAATTTCTGTCTCCATCAGTACTGTAAAAATATCTCTTGTTTAGAGGGTTTTGACACAGATTAATATGCAACAATGCAAACTAAGTTGGTCTCTAGAATGATGCAATGAAAGATCTGTAAGATTTTGGTATTCTGGTTCAGCAGTATTTTAAATTATCCTTATTCATGGTCACTTGACGCTGAAAGAACTTGTATCTTTGCAGTATCATGTGGACAAAACTCGAATAAAAGAGGTGGTGAAGTTGAAAAAGGTATAATCCACAACTATTCTTATTTCATGGTTAAAGTTCAGTGCTTTCCCAGGAGTCTCTTATGCTGGAACATTCTCAGGTTCCTATGGCTTCAGCATGGACATTGGAAGATTTTAAAGCTGCTTTCGAACTGGATGTTGCCTCCCCCCCTGTATCCGACCCAAATCTACAGGTTTTGATTTGCTTGATAAGGCTAATATTCCCTTTTCTTTTTTCTGTCAGCCATATTTTCAATAAAAAATATGTTTGCATTTTATACAACGTGACACTGTCCTTGCTTTTAGACATTACAAATTTTGTTGTCTAGGATGTTCTACCTCTTTGTTCCTATGTTCTATGTTGAACGGCTTGTTATAATACTTTTGTGCCCATCAAAGGAATCTAGTCTTTCTTCCAGAAAGTAGCATTGCTTATTGATTTTCAGTTTACCACCATGCAAATCCCTTAATAGGTGGATCCATCAGCTCCCTAACTCATTCACTGTAACTATACCATCACAATTTTCTTTCTCACAGATGATATTTGAGGAATTGCTTGAAAGAGTCAAAGAAAAGGAGGACAAAGAGGCCAAAAGGCGCAAGCGTCTTGCAGAGGGTTTCCTTGATCTGTTGCGTTCCATCAAGGTAGATTTTCTGACGCAACTGACCAAGCTAGTACTGGAAAACTGAAGTCTGGCTTAAATTGATCAGCCACTTTTTGCTGCAGGAAATCACTGCATCCTCCAAGTGGGAAAGTTGTAAAGAGCAAGTTGATGGTAGCAGAGAGTTCAGGTATTGTACCTAATCATTGCCATGTAATAAATTAATGATAAATGCAGCCATAATAAGCTCAGATATCTCGGTTTGATTTTTTTATGGTCTGTGGCATCTTGGAGGGAAATGGTTGTCTGACGAGTATCTCTCATGTTCATATCACGCAATCTATTCTTCTTCTGTAGTAGAAAAACTTGAGGTGCATTCAATCGCACAATCTAAAATTGTACAAGCCCGAAGACTCCATTCTGTTAACCATAATTTTTATTTTTCCTTGATTTATTCTGCTAGCAGATAATTTGAGATCGAAGAATTACCTGAGTATACAAATTTCTTTATTTCAGCTGTTTACTCAATGTTTTTTCTTTCTTTTCTAGTTCAATTGGTGAAGAGAGCTTCTGTAGAGAGATTTTTGAGGAATACATAAATCAACTAAAAGATCAGGAGAAGGAGAACGAGCGCAGGAGAAAAGATGATAAGGTATGCATCTCTATAATCACTGTTGAATTAGTTAGATCAGGATTTTTCTTCATGCTAGAGTTTGTTTGTGATTTTACCTTGTGTTGTTTATATGTTTCGAACAACTTCATAACCTAGTAGACTTGATATGGTGCGTGGAGTGTGGGGAGGGTTTCCTTCCTAGGCTTTCGGTGCCTGTGAAAAAAATAATTACAATATGATCGATGCATGCTGCTGGGAAACATCTAATGCACCAAAACAAGTAATAAGAAATCTCTCTTTAGATTGATGAGATGGGAAACCTCTTATGCACTAAAACAAGTAAAGAAGTTATGTATCTTTAGATTGTTGAAATTGTATTATTTTTGTGCAGGCAAGAAGGGAAAGGGATAGAGACGATAGAGAGCGAAGAAAGTTGAAGCACAGAAGGGAGAAAGAAAGAGGTCATGAGAGAGAAAAGGATCAGTTGAAGGAGGAAATGGAGAGTGAGAGTGTTGATGTGGTAACAGACGCCCATGCATCGGGTGACGACAGAAGGCTGGGCAGTGAGAGTAGCAAAAAACAAAGGAAGAGGCATCATCATGGAATAGGTGGGGACGATGATCCCGAAGAAAGTGAAAAAGAGAGGTCCAGAGGCAGCCACAAACATAGTAGTGACCACAGTAAAAGAGGGAGATGGGTATGCACGTAGTTGCCAGTTAGATAGTCTACTCTACTCACTCATGAACTGAATCCCTTATTTAAGTTTGTTATCTGAAAGTTTGTTTTCCCATTGGCTGAAACCACATTGTCGTCGCAGAATGGTACTACCCCCGATTCGGACAGTGAGAGCAGGCATAGAAGGCATAAGAGAGACCACCACCATAATGGTTCTCGTAGGACTGGTAATCATGAGGAACTTGAAGATGGAGAGTTTGGGGTGGATGGGGAAACCCGGTAGTGGAGGTCTTGGCCTCAAGTCTTGTTAATTTTCATCTCTTCTTTTATCTGTCTCGGACTTTACGTTAATGATCTTTACCAGAGTTATACTACAGGCCTTCGTTTCATTGAGGTTTTCACCCCTCTGTTTTGTGCAATATTGTTGTAGATCAGTTCCATTGCATATACAGTACTGTATTACTACGATGTTGGAAAAAGCGGTTCGTGATAAGCAGTGAGGTAGTTAGGGATTTCGTCTAATGAAATTTTTATAGCGAATTTTCCAAATGACCGTACTGGAGCTGTTTCTTATGAAAATTGTTTTGTGCATGTAAACTTGGTAGTGGAAGCGTAGCATAGTGAACCAAAATCCGTCGAGTAAGATCACTTGTGTGGCTGTTTGTGCTGAATGTAGCACCTCGGTAGATAAGTGTGCGATAGAGAAACTCGCGGACGTTGAACATATTCGCAGCAGCTAGTCCTCTCCTCGTATAGCGATGTGGGCAAAACATGGCTGAGCAGATTAATACTGTACAAAGGAGCAAAACATGGCTGAGCAGATTATAACAATAATTACTTTCCCTTCTCCTTCTTCCTCCTCCTCTTTCTATCTTCTTCCTCTGATCCCTTCTTCTTCCTCAATCTCTTATTTCCTAGTCTTTCCCTTCACTTTCTATCCCTTTCTCGGTAAACAAACACTCGCCAATGCAATCGATGCCCTCCAAATCTCTCATAGGCTCAACTCCACTAATCGTCGGTCAAGCTCCAGCTTCGATTTTATGTTCGCAACACACAGCGCAACTGCAAGGCGACGATGATATCCCCCCACTTATTTTTCAGTTAATTATATCTAAAACATATAATATCCACCTAGTATGGTTTTTGACTAAAAGTTGTCACGTCACCAAATATCGTTAGTTTGTTAAAAAAAAAAATAAACAAGGGGGAAGGCAGCGACGGCACCCGAAACTCATAATATTGTGTTTTGAAGGGGGAAAGCAGCGGCGGCGCCCGAGACTCAGGTGTTGGCGCTATTTGAAATTTTCAAAAATTTAAAATAGCGCCAACGCCTGAGACTCAGGCGGCTTCGCTAGAAACCTTTTCTTTCTTATCCCCTTCCTCGCCACTCCCTCTCGCCAGAACCACACACCCAACCCTCCCTCCCCTCCTCCCTCACCTCCTCCAACCCAGCGCCGACAGCGACGACGCCAAGGGAAAGAGCGACGACGTCGAGAAGAAGAAGGCGCCGCCTCAGTCTCAAGCGGCCGCGCTCACTCCCCGATGAAGGCGCCAAAACAAGAGCGTCGTCGCAGATCTGCTTCTCACTGCCATGTCCGACGACGAGCAGCAGGCGCCCGACAGAGGAAGGGGCCGAGGGTGGCGGCAGCGAACGCTACAGGAGTAAGTTGGCGGTGGCCGGATTCTCGCCGGCGGCGGCAAATTTTTTTATGCAATAATTTTTTTCTCCAGTTCCTAGGCTTATCGATCCTTGTTCGATGAGACCACCACCTGCGACAATCGATACAGCTCCGGTGGATCCAGAACTTCTTTGGGGGCATGGTCACCATCGTATTGAAGCAGTTTTGGGCAAACGAGGTAAGTTTTCAAACTATTTCAATAGTTTTTTATTAGCTGAATAATAGAATAGAATTCAATTAAATTACGAATAGAATTAGATTAAATTACGAGTAGTATTAGAATAAGTTTAGTTTAGAAAATATAAATATAAATATTAGGTGAATTGAATTAATATAAGTTTTGTGCATTAATTATAGGTTGGTGATCGATCTTACCACATTCGTCATATGGGCAATTTAGTGCGATACCATCCACTTTACCTGCCGTATCTCGCCGATGCGGGCTTGTCTAGTGTTCTGCCACTAGCCCCTCTTACCCGTGATCCAGGTTTGATTACTGCGCTCGTAGAGCGTTGGCGACCCGAGATATCGACCTTCCACATGCCGTTCGGTGAGGTGACGATCACCCTAGAGGACGTTGCGACACTGACCGGTCTAGCGATCGACGGTGATGCCGTCGTAGTAGACATACCAGACGAGGACTGGTCGCCTATGTGTCTTCAACTGTTAGGACGTGCTCCTACTGATCTTGGTGGCGGCGTCATCCGGATTTCTTGGCTCAGGGAGACTTTCGATGAGCTACCGCTTTCTGCATCACCCCAGACGACAGAGCAGTTTGCAAGAGCGTCACCTGCAGTACCTACTTTTGGTGGAGGATTGGCGCAGAGCAGGGAGGTTTGCTTGGGGAGCAGCTGTGCTATCCTACTTGTACCGTGAGATGGGTAGATCGGCGCTGCAGATGACGACATCTTCTTCACTGGGTGGTGACTTTGGTGGATGGTCCGTCTTGCTGATGATCTGGACGTGGGAGCGGTTTCCTCATACATCACCACTACATGCGGAGACGGGTGCGCAGATTACTCAGGACGCAGTGCCACGTGGCCTTCGATGGCTTCCGGCCCAGACCCGTCAGCATGGAGATCAGTTCTACCTGTACAAGCTGTGGTTTGACGAGTGCAGGACATTCGTGGTTAGTATATAACATTTCGTTTTATAAAATAGTTTTAATTGATTTGTTATTGATTTAGGAGTAATTATGTGACCAATCCTTGTGTTCAGTGGCGTCCGTACTTTCATAAAGGTCAAGACTATATCGGTATTGTGATCTAGTCCGCCACGTTTCGAGCAGTAGTTCCGCTGATCTGCTTCTCATTGCAGATGTGGCATCATCCAGATCGCGTGCTCTGACAGTTTGGGATGATTCAGGACCAGCCTCATCCTCCACATTCCGCGACTGAGATTAGGTTTTTCCTTCGTCAGGGACAGCATGGGCCACCACGTGGCCAGCAGTTCATACAGGCAGCCAGCAAGTCGATTGAGTTGTGGAACCGTCGACATGAGTTCAACGTGCGGACGAGCTACAGTGACATACCTTTAGCTTACCACTCGGAGCATCGAGAGTGGTATAGAGATGTCACTAGACGTTCAGGCACACGGAGAGTTGCTGCACTGACCGCAGCGGTGAGTTTTTTATTAATTAAAATTTGCGTTTTAATTGTTTTTAGATGTGTAGAATTTCTGATATCTTATATTTAATTTGCAGTATGACTGCATGGAGTCCGTTGAGCAGGGTTTACGTGATGGGATGAGAGCAGGAGGGCTGTCCTATGACCAGATGGCGGAGTTTGCTGACCAGTTGGCGACAGGGGTTACAACTTTAGGTTTTAGTGATCGTTGACATCCTGATACAGAGCCGATACAGCGGTATCCTGATGAGCGCAGCTTAGCCATCTGACCAGAGTGTAGGGCTCATCCATCGGACTGGGGCGTGCCACCGTCACAGTTCACGGAGGAGCCCAGGAGGAGGAGACAGCGACGTGAGCAGCGTGACGTACCTCGAGGAGTGAGGTACTCAGATCGTCAGCTAGTCAGACCTACTTCGACCTTCACCTTCCACCAGCCTTCTCAGCCACCGTTTCAGCCGGGCGCTTTTACCAGATTTCAGGCAGGCACCAGTTCTAGCCCTCAGTTTCAGCCATAAGAGGATAGCTTTCACACACCGCAGCATGCTACGATGGGAGGTGGACACATGGGATCAGGTAGAGCAGCCGTGCCACATTTGGACGTCGATGAGTGGGAGCGTCTAGGTGAGCAGGTTCAGTCTCAGGCGGCCTTCCAGACATCTCAGTGCGCATATGAGCAGCAGCGACGAGAGGGTGCACCAGATGAGCAGGTTCAGTCTCGGGTGGATGATATGTTCGGCACACAGGATCAAGATGATGTGGCGGAGAGAGATGATCAGTTGCCTCCACGAGACAGGAGGCCAGCGAGGTGTGGTACTGGCGGCCATCTAGTGCCAGAGCACGATGGTTGTCGTGGTGGTCGGCCTGGTGGTCGTGGGGGTCGTTAGTGTATTTATGTACTTCTTTGAGATATTTATTATTATTATGTTTTTTGTGACTATGTATTATTATTATGTACTTCTTTGAGACTATTTATTATTATGTACTTATTTGGGACTATTTTTAATTTCATGCGGACTAATTCATGTTAGTGCTATTGTCTAAATGGAAACTTTAAATATAAAACCAGCAAATATCAACAACTAGTTCAGTTCATAAAAGTAAAAACAAAAACTTCAAACAACAACAACTTCTGCAAGGTAAATCGAAAGAAAAACAACAACTGCTACATTCGAACAAACTTCTCGGCCACGTCTATTCTCTCTACTTCCTCTTATACCACCTCTCGCACTTCGTTGGCCACCACTCCCTCTTCGGTTGCTCCCACTCCCACTTGCTTGGCCACCACAGGTTGATGCATTATGTCCCGCTTGGTTACAGTTGCTACACACTTGCTGTGCTGAACCCTCCCTTGGCCAATCCATCTCGTTGTGAATTTGTGTTGATCTTGGCCTCCCCGGCTTTCTAATCATGTCCAAATTAGGGTGGAGAGTAGGGTCATTATGCTTCTTCCAACCCTTAGGTTCACCAAGAGGAGTGAAACTTGTCCCATAACAAGCCAGCACTGTTTGAAGCTTGTAGACGTCGTTTACAAACCTATATGAATTAGCCCCCATTCGGTTGCAAGCTGCAATGGCATGAGAGCAAGGAATTTTATTTCCTTGAAATTTCCCACAAATGCAAAATCCCGTCTGGTTGGGGTCGTCAAAGTGCACTGTGAGTGTGTTTGACCCCGTCATGTTGAAATTGTTGGGAGGAGTCTGAACTACATAGATGCCTTGACGTCGATCCATCGCTGACACGGAATGTCCAACTGCCTTTTGTCTCCACGACTTCATCAGCTCCTCGCACTTGGTGGAATACTGTTGTGCACCACTTCTAATTTCTGCTCCTGTCTTCAACCTCATCTTATCGAATTTCTTAACCAATCGCCAATAGGTATGTTGCACAAGAGAAGCTATAGGAAGTGCACGAATACCTTTGAAAACACCATTGATGCTTTCTGCCATGTTGGATGTCAGGATAGACCAACCACACCCACCATTTTAGTGTACAAACTCCAACGAATTTGATGTTGGTCGACCCAGTTATCACATGAAATATTTCTATCAGTGGCCACCTTCTTAAATTGCTCAACTTGAAGATCGAACTTCTCCAAGCGGTTTTCTCCGGCTAACAAAATAAACAACCACACGGGTTAGATAAATTCATGACAAAATTTCATGAAAATAAATAACAAAATTAAATGAAGAAGGCTTACCGACTCGAAATAGTTGCTTATACATAATTCTACTTTTAGTCTTCCTTTGCAAATTGCTTGCATAGTGTCGCATGCACCACCTCCAATCCCAATCTCTTTCGATGTTATTCATGGCTTCATAGAGTCCTGCATGTCTATCTTAGATGATGCAGACATCATTTCGATCAGTTAAACCCTGAACGTGACTTATGAACCATGGCCAACTATCAGTATTCTCACTCTCCACTATGGCAAATGCAATTGGAAAAATCTTCTTTCGGCCATCAAATGAGCTCGCCATGAGTAGACTCCTTTATACTTCCCAGTAAGAAATGTTCCATCAATAACCATGACGCCTGGACAATTCCTGAATCCATCTATACAATCAATCAATCACCGATGTTGGCATTTTTCTCTTGACCACCCGCAAGAATGTTTGCAAAAAATCGTAGGATTCTTCCCAATTTCCATGCAACTCTCCAATGCTCTTCGTTTCCCGTACCAAGCCTTCTTGTAAGTAACTTGCATATTAAACTTATCTTTCAACTCGGCCTGCACAGTTAGAACACTCAAATTTGGTTGAGCACGTACCAAGTGTTTCATGGACTCAGATATAACGTCGACATCAAGATGGCAATGATCCGTCGGTTGATTCGTACTGCTACAAGTATGCACCAACTCGGCCTTTCTCACGCTCCAATCGCCTCCCACATCTCGACATCCAAACCTCACCATCCAAGGACATTTGTCCTCCTTGTGCATCAAACATCTGATCTTCTAAATTAAAGGTGACGACTCCACCACGTTATACTGAAAGTTGCGTTGTAGTGCATAGTGTTTAATCGCCACCTGTGCAGCTTGTTTCGAGTGAAATATTTGCCCCTTGTAGAATTCTCCATCAAAACCACCAACAATAGGCATTGGAATTACGCCATATGAATCAGCATATGATAATTCCTCATCCTCTTCATTACCCTGCAAGTAAAAATATGGAGGATAATTAGGTTGTTCTCCTTCCTCCCCGCCGTCGTCGTCGTCGTCGTCCTCCTCCTCCTCCTCCTCCTCCTCCTCATCATCGTCTTCCTCCTCTCCGTCATCACCATCATCATAGTCATGATCGGATGTCATGCTCCATGTGTCATCTTCTTTCTCTCCACCCCGATCCTCACTAAGCTCAGCATGTATATCAGCACCCAAACAATAAGGATTTTGTGCCATAAAATTCCAAAGCACATTTAAGCTATCATCATCGACAATAGGCATTGCATAATGAAATAAAACACCATTCTGCCATTCTGGAAGACAATAAGTGAAATCTGTCATCACAACACTATCTTGTACTGTTTCGTCTCTACGCCGTATTCTCCGAATTAGATTATCACAAAGTTTCTGATAGTTCACCCTAGATGGAATAGTCATCTGAAAACTTACACCACCAATGAAATAGACACCCAAATTGTCCTCTACTTTCTCTGATTTCCACCGAACAGCTAGTTCAAATCTTCTAAAATCACTACATAAAAAACAAACTCACTAATTACTAACTGGACAAAATCATTATGAAGAATACATTAAAAAAATAAATACGTCTCTTGCCTATTATTAGCCATCTTCCCAGCAACCAGACAGCAACACCAGAGCTTCTTTCAAAACTTCTTTCAGTTTTTTGGTGGTGAAGAACCGAAGGAAAAGTGGATTGTATATGGTGATGGTGGTGCTGGAGTGGAAGAAACAAAGGCAGCGACGACACCTCAGTCTGGGGCGCCGCCGCTTTTGATATTCTTCAAGCGCCAAAGCCCCAGTCTCAGGCGCCGCCGCTGAATTTTATTAAAAAAACAGCACCTAGCGGTAGCGCCTGAGTCTAAGGCTTTAGCGCTTTCAACATACCAAAAAACACAATATTCTTGTAAATAGTTTTTAAACCACTATATTCGTGGTAAATAAAAAAAAATATTTAGGGAATTAACCCTCTAGTCAGCATCTATTAATGTGTTGTTAAAATTATCGACAAAATGACTATATCTGTGTATTTTTTAAAAGTTGGCTATTATTGTCACAAAGTGCATACTTATGACTATTCAAGTGTATTTTGCCTATTTATTAATAAGACGTTCATGCAAATGATGCCGCTGAAAAAAAAGGAATGAAAAGAGGGTAATATATTTGTATGGCCTGAACTTTTCACATATTAAACATCTTGGCCAATCTTTTCGATCTATCACATCGTGGCCCCAACTATGCATCAAAGTTATGAAATTGGCCAAACCCAAAATTTGACCGTCATCATGGACGGTCAACCGCGTTGACTAACGGTCAACATGCCACGTCACTGCCCAATCAACATAATAAATGTTAAGAAATTAAAAAAAGACACACTATCTCCAATTATGAATTATTTCAATCAATTTAAAAATAAATATAAAAAAAGAAAAAACAACAAAAGATCATATGCATCTCTTCTTCCTCACAACCTTGCCCCCCAAAGCCCAACTGTACCAAGAATACCATCCGAAACCCAGAATACATCCCAAAATTTCATCTCCAAAGCCCATCCTAAATCCCAAAACCCCAACAAAATCAGAAACCTCAAAAAGTCATGCACTCAATCAAAAAGACTTCCCATCCCGTTGTTGGAGCCTTCACTGTCGTTTGCTTATTTTGCCCCCAGATCGCTTTTTGAACTTAGCTCTCCTTTTAAACCCTTATCGGCATCACAATTGGTTTGGGTAGGCAGGGGAGGGAGG